CAATACAATTAATTCTGTAAATGTATTTTTAATGTGTTTTGTATGTTTTATCTTCTCCTTGTTTGGAGGTTTTTTCGATGAATAAATGAAATGAAATAACACATTAACTACAGTATACTACAAATTATGTAGTTAACATTCAGAGAACTTAATTTTTTAATAAATGGCCTAATTAGGTATCTTATTGTTTAATGTTTTAATTTAGCTATATTACGTACTTAAGCCAATCAGTTACACTTACATCTTCATGCCTTGTTCAATGACCCCCCTCCGAATATAAGATAGTTTTCTTATTTTTTTCTCCCTCTTCGTTCATATATTCACTAAAGAAAAGTATGTTACAAATTCCCATACCACATGTCTGAACCCAATGAAAAAATGAGTTTTTTATAATGTATATACTTATTTTTTTTTTCTTTATCTGTATTTTTTAATTAATTGTTTCACTTTATGAGGTTGGAGAGTCACTTTATAGTTGATTCGGTTCACTTTTTGACAATCCCGTCTACTTGCTAAAGTGTCTGTGCTTTGTTTTGTTCGTGTAATAGACGAAATAAATGACTTGAAATGAAATGAGAGATTAGACTAGAAGGGGCAGCCGTCAAAATCATGAAGTCAATTTTCGGCTCATTTAATCTTCCAACATGAATGCTTTAAAATATTTTGGCAAATAATACTTGTTTCCTTCAGGAGTGGCGCCAGGATTTGCCTGACAGTGGGGATGGGGGCGGCAGATGTCTCCAACGTGTGGGTGGTGGGGCACTGCCAGACGAGAGCATCAGTAAGTGTGGTCGGATGTTGCTCAACTTTTCTCAGAAGTGACATACTATGGGGCGTACCCCCGAAACTAAGACAATTTCGGGTTTCATAGACATATTTAAAAATTTTAGAGGCTACTATATGTAAAAAAATACATAAAATTTTTTCTTCTCCCTGACGATTTGTGTTTTTCTCCACGACAGAGAGGGGAACCGAGAGGCCAAATACAATTAATTTAGGGCGAAGAACACCACACTATTCATCTATAAAGGGAAGGTAATAAAAATGACAAATACTTTAATTATAATTATTGCTTGCAACACTGGTATGTAACAGAAGATTCAGGATAAAAGAAAATATCTTTGATTTCAGCTCACTAAAAATGAACAAAAAAAAACACTATTTTGGTAAAAAGTATTTTATTTCTTACGAAAATAATAACAAATATTGTATTTTTTGCATTCGAACTAGGCATGATCATTTTCATAGTAGATGTACTTTTTTTCCCTCTCTTAAGTCTATTTAAACAATATACCTACAATAATCGCAATGTTTGGAATTTACAAAATTACAGACTGTAAATAGACAAGCTCGCATCCATCTTTGGTGCTGTATTACATTTATATATCATTTCTAATGCAAAGAAAATAAACTTATTATTATACTATCATTACTGAGTTAATGTAGATGATAATGAAGATTATTATGTGTACAAGCCCCATTAAAACATTTGATGATTAACACCCCAGGTTTTGTCCACCATTCACTATACCACATAACATTCAAATTTATTCATTGGTAGGCCTAATATTGACACAAGAGAATAAGAATTTTATAGTGGTAAAACCAACCACCTCACATATATACAGTATATAAGTAAACCACATTTATCATTTTGTGCCTGTAAATAATGTAAACACCTTGAACAATTACACCTGTCACAATTACCAACAATCACCTTTCAGAATGTGTTAATGACCCTATTATTTTACTTTTTGACTCTAAAAAGGAGATTGCAGGGGAAGGGGACGTCCACTCCCATTGATCAAACTGCAATTACATGTGGGTATGGAGGGGTCACCTGAAGGGAAATCATTACCTGAGACCTCAACGTGTTCTCTCCCTTTAACCTACTTTTAAAATCTTACAAATCTAAAAACCTCAAAAGAAATAAAGGTGAAAAAATAATGCAAGTTACTGTATCATCAATCTAACTTATCTGAATAATAGTAATCTAAATATAAATTGAAAATAATATGAAATCAATAAAGTATTTGTAATTTATAAGAGAAAAACAAATTAAGCTTACACAGTTAATATTGTTGTAGTATATTACATAGAACGATTTTATTTGTCATATTTTTGAGTAAAACATGATATTAATTATAAAAAAGTAATTATTATTATTTAATTTTAAAGTTAATTATATATAAAGATGTTGCTCTAGTTTGGTGGGTAAGACATCTTTCAAATCCCCCAGATTTTAGGTTGAAAATGAAATCCTGTCAAAAATGTTTTGCTCATGACTAAAACATCCTGAATCCCAACGACTCACTCTCCAGCACACTGGGCACCAGGTATCCAATTTTAAAAAATAAATAAAAAATAGAATAAGCCAAAACAATCAATACAACGGTTGAAACAACAAAATGCACTTTTGATATTGTTAATGACTTGTCACAAAATCATTTATTTAACTACAAGTCATTAGATATAAATATACTTACATACTTCCCAATTCTGATTCTGTTAAAAGTGAACTGAGATTCATATAAAAGTATTAAAGAATAAACCATGGAATGTTTAAGCAAAACTTACAAATTTATGTCCCACAATTAAACCAGGTACTATGTAATGAGAAATGTTACAATGTCTCAGTTGTTTTCATATAAACTCTACTGTAAACCAACTCAAATTTGTTCTTACATGTTCTCCCAACTGGCATGTTCTTCATACCGATCTTTAATCATTTAATAAGATGACATATATATTTATATTTATCTATGCAGATATATATCTCATTGTTATTCTTATCTGACTGTAATATACTTATGAAGCGGATAATGACCCTATTATATATATGGTATGTAGACCAATTAAGAATCTTGAAATCTTGAATCTCTTCAACCAACTCACTTGCTCTTCCTCAGTTACCTGTCCTCCCAACTCACCAGCCCCCAACCCACCTGCTCTGCCAACACATCTGTCCTTGTGACGCACCTGTTCTCCAAAAATACTGACACATAAAAATATATCAGAATCTGTCTTACAATATAATATCATTTTATGTTTATTTAATTAACTATCAAAAAACAAAAAAAATACAATATATATCTTTAAAGTATTAGTGTACAAGGCATTAGTTTACAAATTCATGACTAATGACGGAGAAAATTGAGCATACTTTATTTTGAAGCAAAGAGCGTTGGATGTTCGGAGGAATCGCTTGTCGAGGCTCCATTATCTGTACCATTCTCCTCACTAACATTTGGATCGCAGGCATTATATCGAGTATCTAAGAAGACTCTTAAATGAATCTAAATAGGAAAGAAACAGTGATGATTTAATTAACTATTTCATCAATATACATATCAGATATAAAATATAATATTTTTCAGAGGATTCCGGAGTGCTATAGAATCTTTGCACCAGGCAAACATCTATTTAAATGTATGTTTATAAAGTTCCAATTAAAAACTATAATATGCATCATGTAGATGAGACCAAACTATCTTCTGGTCACATTAGATTTTAATTAAACAAAATAAATTCTTGATTTCACACAATTAATATTATGATGTAACACTACACCATAATCCATGTGTGAAATGGAATGACCTTTGACATGGATATGTGCAATTCAAACTACAAAAGCATAATTAACTGTAAGCAAAAGTTTGCAAGCAGATTAATTGGTGTTTTTACCTGAATGTGTAGGTTCACCTCGTCACTCCTGCTCAGGTATGGGAAGTTTCCTCCTGATTTGAGGTGAGCCCTCTTTGCATCAGGGTAGCATTTGTACATTTCATCTTTCACACTTTGGGAGATTGCGCTGTTATCAAACACCTGCAAACACAGGAGAAAATTGTTGTTCTTGTAATTTTAATATCACTTAATACAGAACCTTGATTTTACATACAGTACGGGACCTGAGAGCATACGTAAATCGGGGATTTGTAAAATCAAGGTTAGGTTAAATTTGTGGTGACTTTTGACCTAATACGTTATGTTATGTTATGAACAAACGATACTAACTAGGCCTACAACATACAACTCTAGGGCCTAGGCTACTGCATAAACTGTAACCTGGATGCCAGGATAATTTTGGAGCCCACATCCTGCTCCATCTCAAACAGTAAGTGATAAATCTTTTGACTGCACACTGCTAATCTCTGGGGGTCTAGGTTTTGAATTCAAATTTGCTTATTATCATACTATACATACGTACAAAAATTTGAAAATTCAGGTACACTACAACTTATGAAGACATATTTTGAGGTATCAGACATATATTATAAATTCGTTTTTGGCTATTGAAACTGAATATAGATGAATGTAAATGTCATTGTTTCTTGTACAGCGGATAATACCCCATTGATGGCTTCTGGAGCAAATAAATATTGAATTGAATAGACCAAGTGAGTGAAGCGATATCACTCACTTTATTCTTCATTAGTAGTAGTAAAATGTCCGTAATCAGTGATTTGACCTGTGTATATTTGTGTATCAAAATTAAAACTTATGATTCTCTGAAAAATCTTGTCAAATGTTTTAATTGAATTTATTTGGATTTTTCTTAATTTATAATGCACGGTATATTTAACAAACACATACTTACATCAATCAAAGTGACATGCATATCTTTAAGTTTCTGTGGTTCAACATATGAACTTGCACAGTTAATGGTTAATCGTGAAGCCAACTCAGACTGACCAAGGCTGTCAAGCTAGGAACACAGAATATGCACGGTTTCAGATTAATACAAAATTACAACATTAGTATATAAATTACAATTTACATTAAGTATATCAGAAATTTTATAATTAATGCAAAAAAAAAATTGCGTGAAATCAATGGCTAAAAAATACAGATGGCCAAACACTATGCAATAATCTATCGCTACAAAATAAGGAAATGCTGGATAACAAACAAATTAATTAAATAATGCAAATAAGAATACAAATCATTTAATGAATAAATTAATTCATTGAGAACAGATTTCCAATACTTGATTTGGTTTATATTTGACAGCAGTATAAAGAGGAACAGAATCAATTAAAAAAAAAAAAGCATGTATCAAAAAACACATATTGCATAGGTTTCTATAATATACTGTATGTATAGTGATTTGTAAATTTGTTTAAGAGTGTGCTGAGGTGTTGCGTTTCGGACTGATGCCATCGGATCTTTGTCAGGCGGCGCTGCTGGCTGGGTGCTGGTTGTCTTCCCTGCCAAACAACACCCGACGACAGGAAGGATAACCAGCATTCAGCTGGTTGCATTGCCTGGCAGGGGTAAGGTGGCATCAGTTTGTGGCGTGGCGAGATGGGTTAGCGTTTTTTGTTTTTGTTTTTTCTCTGGATGAGTTTTCAAATCAGCCTCATACTCTTGTTTAGTTTGCAGTTTATTTTAAGTGTATTATACGGTTGACGGGTGGGCAGTAATTGTAATCTGACCAATATTTAGTTCAGAATTTCATTTTATATTTTGTTGTTTTTTTGGATGCACTACTAGGTATTACCTAATGTGTGCCACTGTTATAAAAGTGTTATCCAATAAATATTGTATTGTAATCACAGCAAAGCTTGACCAGTGTAATGTCTTATTGATATCATTTACTTTGGTTATTGTTTGACATTTCATGTATATATAGAAGGCATATTGAAAGATTTGAATTAATAGAATAGTAAAGAATTTTTATTAAGCATAAAAGAGTATTAGTAAGCTTACTCTTTCAACCATGAAATCAACAGAGTTGGCTATCTCATAATCAAGCAACCTTGCAGAAGCAAAGTTACCCATCACCATCTTTTTCAGAAGAAAACCTGGAAGAACCCAGTATCTGAAAAGAAAACATTCATTGATTTTGATTACAATCTGTTAGAAAGATTTATAAACATAATACAATTTATCTTTAACTGAATGAACTGAGTTATTCCTAAACATGAAAACTATTAAGGAAAGTAAGTTTATCTTAAAAAACTAATTTGACTGTAAGGACAGTAAATAATAAACTAGATGAATCTACCATACTTCAATTCTGTAATAGGTCTATCGGTGAATAGATAAAGGTAGGTGCCAGGAAACAACAAACAGATGCTAAATTTTAGCCATATGGCCACACAAAAACATGTACAAACACATTCTTCTTCTGAATGTATTATAGTAAACTTGTTAAAGCCGATTTTGACAAATGAACAAACATATCATAGACTATACAAACAACTGTTGAGTGAGGTAAAAAATGAATCTGATTAAGGTGCCCTTTGCTTCGTTCACTGGGCATTAATAATGTAAACAGTTCAGTAAATTGGATTTCTTACTTTTTATATAATTGTGGGACAAATTCAGTAAAGAAATTATAACCAACAAAGAAAATAGAAACAATTAACAATTAAGGAATTACAATAAATGGATAATGATAATTACATTAAAGAAATCACTCATTAATCAATTATTATTAGAACACTTCAAGTGCCTATGTTATCTGACTTACGTTGTAGATGACTGAGATTGCTGGAAACAGTCTGTATCAACAAATGAATTGCATAGAATAATAGACTGAACACGCGGACTCTTGTACGTATATTCTGCAAACTTTTGGGCCAGAAAACCACC